CTGTGGTTTGAGCTGAGCCGTGCTGCGATGGCATGGCAAAAGCCTCTTGCTCCCTGGCTGTCACAGTGCAGGGCTGGGACTGAGCCCCTTTGAACCTTGCCGGAACCTCGCCTGCTTTCTGTCTGCGCCCCTCAGGGTGCCCTGTGCAGGGGTGTGGGTTGGTAGTGCATCTGCTCACCGTGCCGCGGGATCCTTTGCATGCACCCTGGCTTGCTAGAAGGCTTGCCCGGTCTGGTGACCGCCTCTGCCATGCTCGGTGGCACCAGGGAGGGAGAAAACTTGATCCAAGCTGGTTCACGGGGACACGGGCTCTGCTGCAGCTCAGGTGTGCCCCCCCAGCCCGTGATTCCTACTGGAGGTCGGTTGCCCAAATGCAACTTTCACCGGCAAGCTAACTGGGTGCTGCTCAAGGTAGCTGTGGGTGCAGGCAGGAGGGTTGGAAATGTGAGCGCCAGCTCTGAGACCCTCCTGGCTGGACCGCTGCTGTCCTTGGGGTGGAGGAGCCGCAGGAGTGGTGGCCTGGGGCTCTTGGAAGTGGTACCACCGAGGACAGACAGTTGACCGATAGCAACTTGGATTTCAGCTTGTTTTCTTCAAGTTTCTATTTGAAATAGAAATGCAAGGGATGCGTTTGGTTTTCCCTTTCTCTCCCAAAGCTGTAGTTCAGCTTTTTCCAGCTAAAAACGAGCAGGTAATTCCCGTGGCTGGATGCGTGCGTTCTGGGATGGCCGGAGCTCACGGCTCCCCAAAGCCCTGCGGAGGCAGGGAGCAGCCGGGGGGGCCGCGCACCGTCCCAGCCAGGCTGCAGCCACCTGCGTCTGTGCTGGGGGCTGCGGGTGGTTGATGCCTGGCCCCGCGGCCTGGGGAGAGGGGGCACCCATGGTTCGGCCAGCCCCATCCCCAATGCAGGGGAAGTCCAGCTGCCATCGGAGGGGGACAGGAGCAGCAGGGAGGCAGGGCTTAATATCTACTGAAAAGCAAAACCAGCTAAGTCTGCAGCGGTGATGTGAATTGCCTTGAATTAAAGACGACTCCCGCAGTCTGGCCTGGGGTGTGTGTGCCGTGCATGCACTCATGCCACCCGGCCATGTTTTGGGTGGCTGCGGTGGGGATCAGCCTCGGGGCCATGCATGGAGCACCCTCTGTCCCTTCTGCTAACGGGGCTTCTCCTTCCAGGCAGCCGAGTGGGGCAGCTCCCTGGGGCATTACCTCGCTGCCCTCCCAGCGTGATGCCGAGCATGCCGCTTCCTGGCACTGCTCCTGCCACCACGCCGCCGCTTGATACCTCGAAATCCTGCCCCCCCCGGTCCCGCTGCCCCCTCCCCGGCTCACTGGTGGTTTCATTGCAGCAGCAGCAGCTCCAGGCCCAGCACCTCTCCCACGCCGCCCACGGGCCCCCGGTCCAGCTGCCGCAGCCCCCCTCAGGCCTCC